ATTTTCAGATATTTGTCACGTAAAAACGAACTACTAATATCAGAAATTTTCAGATAGAACGAAATGCGAATATCAGAAATTTTCAGATAGTCGTTGCGAGAAAAATTTTCAGAGATTTGACTAAGTCCTACTTGCGTTACTAATGAGTGATCAATAGATCACAAGCTGGCTACTTGATTGAGCGGGTCCTCTGAATGAGAGGTCCGCTCCGATACCAAACTGTTGCATACTGTAACGTGCAGACCAGAACAAGAACCGACCTCTCAATGCAAAGTACAAGATAACACAGCGAAAGACTTAGATACGAATGATCCGAACAATCAATGTTGCAATGCAGCCCTGAACATACATCACCATCATCGTTACCTTGTGTGAATGGGGTCTGGCACTTCACACAGGAAGACTGCGCCAGCCCATACCATACACAGATGAAGAGGAAGGGGATAGACGAAGATGAGGGGGAAGATGGGAATGTCGTCAACACCAAGTCTTCAGCACCGGCCCAAATAGTCCCTCTTCGAAATGTCTGAATCCCAAATGTCAAGTCTGGATCCAATGTCGTCAGGTCTCCAGTCACAACTCTGTGTCTCTCTGTCGTAGTCTGAGAAGTCAGGTGGCGAGAGGGTGAGAAGAGATGGTGGACTTAGAAGAGGAAGAAGAAGAACTCTCTCTCTCTCTGTGTCCAGTACTAACCTGTGAAGTTGGCACCTTGACGCAGGTACCATGAAGATGGAGCTGGAGCGATGGCGCCACAGGTAAGTATCACTGGCCTCCGCCAGTATCTCTCCCACTCTATGATCTACCACCTACCAGCGCCCAGCGCTGAAGACTACAACTACAGCTATGGCGCCCAGCGCCGAACACTACAGCTAGCGCTAATACCACCTAGCGTTGAAGACTACTGCAGCGCTCGTCCAGAGTGCTGCGGCCGAAATCCTGAAGACTACCCGTGCCTATTGACACTACCTACCCGTGAAGTGCATGGGAACTTCCTATGTACTACCGGGTGTGCCTCCTGAGCCTGCCGAAGGGAGGCAGGGGCTGCAGCTGCAGCTCCTGCTCAAACTCGTGAGGAACAGGCTATTTCTGGCCTGTTCCGCATCCCTGTTTACGTGCCTGAGTCTTAGGGGCGGTTGAAACAATGAGGGTCTGAAAATGGCCCTCCGTTTCAGGCTGGAAAACCTCTGGGTCTGAAAGACCCAGAAATAGGCTGAAACGGAGTAGGGCCTGCAGGCCCTCGTTTTTCAGCTTTCAGGCTGAAACGAACGGGGCTTGTAAGCCCTAAGTTTTAGGCTTTTAGGCTGAATGTCCGGGACGGGCCCTGCAGGGCCCGTGTGGCTACGCAGTATGCCACACCATGACATTGGTTTTCAGTACTACGAACCTCCATTGGTGTATTATTGGTGCAATGCTACTCTATGGACACAGTCTGACTATCTGGCTTTTAATTTGATGGTGTAATCTGGATTTGCCATCTCGCTGTTGCTTATTTTCCTTGCATGGGTAAACATGAGTGGAATACATGATCCGATTGAAGGACGAATGGATCTTTGAGGAGTGCCTAGCTAGTGATGTTCCTGAACTCTCCCTTTGAAGACCAACTTCATAATGCATGCCTGAAGACTAACTTCATAATGCCTGCATGGACTCTGATGTTCCTGAACTCTCCCTTTGAAGACCAACTTCATAATGCATGCCTGAAGACTAACTTCATAATGCATGCCTGAAGACTAACTTCATAATGCCTGCATGGACTCCCGAGGGTGTTTCTGGTCAGTTCAAACATTTCCCTGTTCTCGAATACATATATCCCAGGGCTCCATAAGTGTGTGATTCCTTGGGTGCAGCCATCGTAGGGCTTTCAATCAGGGGCCTTATTGTGGAGTCCCTTAGATTGTGTGTCTCTGCATCCATGGCAAGTACTGCCCAAAAACGAGCTCTAACTCTCTCTCTCTCTCTCTCTCTCTCTCTCTCTCTCTCTCTCTCTCTCTCTCTCTCTCTCTCTCTCTCTCATCACACAACCACACCCACCACTACCCAACCAGCGAAAAAAGAGAATCAGTCGCCTAATTCCAACGTAAAGTAACACGATTCACTAACATCCCAACCGAACGGACAACCTAAAGAAAACCAAAAAAAGGCAGAAAAATAATGAAAGAAGAACAAACATAAGAACAGTGAGCCGCCTCTCTCTCTCTCTCTCCCTCAATCTGTGTGTGTGTGTGTGTGTGTGTGTGTGTGTGTGTGTGTGCGTGTCACAGACGGGCACTCTCATGCTCGATTGCACTCAGAACCCTAAGAAACTCAACCATATAAAAAATAACACAAACCAAGATGACGGGGAAAAAAAACGAAAACCTCTCTCTCTCTCTCTCCCTCTCCCTCTGTGATACATGCCAGTTGTGCAATGTATGTACAGCCAAGGATCCACGATGTGATGAAGAGGACTGAATGGACAATGCAATGTTAGTGAAACATCAACAGGCAAAGTACACCCCGATGCATACAAAATGGCACAAAATAGCGCAGTGGAAGACTTTGAGACAAGTCCTGACCTGACCGGGACTGACGCGACACCCCATCACCCATCACACATGTCAGAGAGGAGAAGGGACCACACACAGAGAAGAAAGGTCCCTCCTTTGCACACACACACACATGGGGAGATACCGCAGATGGGAGATGGGGGGAGAGGAGAGGCGAAGATGGAGGCAGGGCGAAGACCAAGATCGAAATAACGAAGTCCAGAAATAGCCCCTTGCCGATGTCCAATCAATGTCTACCTCAAGAATGTTGAAGCAGATCCTGAGCCTTCTGCCCATCGTATCCTCTGCCTGTAATCCCTCTCACTCTCGTATCTGAAGAAGAAGATGAAGAAGAACGACGAGGAAGGAGGAAGGAGGAGAGAGGGAGACGAGATGGATGGCGAGAAGGAAGAAGATGCCGCCCTCCTCGCTGCCTCACCTGCGGGTAACTGTTGTCGTACTGACCGTCATGGTCGTCCTGTGCAGGTACCGAGCGGCGCCCCGGCTACAGCGCCAGGTAAGTTCACCACTACAGGTATGGCCTTCGCCTCTCTTTGCCTCCTACGCCTCTACTTCCCAGCCTTGCAGCGCCAAAATAGCGCAGCCTCCAACCAGCAGCGTGTCGCTCAAGAAGTCAGCTCCCCGAACTGTCCCCAGCCCAGCCCAGCCTCAGCCCAACTATAAGTAGCGCTGGGCCTGCTGGGCGTTTCTCAGGTACTGGCCTCAAACGGCCTACTCGCTCTGGGCCCCTACCGGTTGTCAAGACTGCGCTGCTGACGCAGCGAGGCGCCAAAACGCACCTGGCCTGAAAGCGGCCTAGGCGTTGTGTACCTGGCCTTCGGACTTGCAGTCCGAAACGACGTCCGACCGGACCACTGCCGGTACCTGCGGGCCAAAGGCCGCCGTGGGCGTCCAGGGTGCGTGCTGGGTGGTGTGCGGTCTAGGGCCCCTTTAGCAACCGTTGGGCCCCTCAAGTAGGGCCCATGTGCAGCCGCAGCATGTAACACCCCCCTCCTCCTTATGAAGTTGGGCCCCTCAAGTAGGGCCCATGTGCAGCCGCAGCATGTAACACCCCCCCCCTCCTTATGAAGTCAAGTCGGGTCAAGGGCGAAGCAGACGATCCTGAAGGTGGAACCTGGACGCGGGTGCGACGTGGAGCCGAAGATACCGGCTTCCCTTGCAACTTGCGTTCGTAGCGTCCGAAGCTCTTGCTTGCAGTTCCGCACGGGTCAACCAACGGTCAGCTTTATGGGTGCAGTACGCAGAATGTACCAAGTATTCGGTCAACCTGTTGCCGTAGCGTCGCTGGGACATGATGTTGCCAACCTCTTGAAAATCGTCCATAGAGTGCAATCGTCGTCCGAGAAAGTCGTCATGTTCCGCTGGCGTGTAAAGAGCCAACTTGGAGCAGTGAAAGACCAGGTGGACGGGCAAGTGGGCGGACACCTGACTGACAAATAAAGGTCCTTCGGGTGCGTCCCCAACGTGTGCCACGATCGGTCAGTACCCCATCCATT